GCTTTAAATCTTGCCTTATTTCAGGGATAAGATTGGGCCTTGCAAAGAGGTGCCGGGGTGAATGTCAGAGTCAGATAAGACAATGTCCCTCCTCCAAGAATCAGAGCCGAAATTAGATCAGGGTTGTCGAACTCATTTGTTATGAGGGCCGGATCTGACATAAATGAGACCTTGTTGGGCTGGGCCACATGTGTCATAAAAGGTAATGCCAGGTAGCAGAGATATAAACTTTATAAAGGACACAAACACAAAGGGTTTTTTTAAACTTAAAATAAAAACATGCTTAAAACATTAGCCCTCTTGCAATATTTTGTTTATTTAACAGTGTCTGATAACTGACACCTCTTGCTCTGAATTATTGCATCACTGAATGTCTGTGCTGTTGCAATCTTGAGTCTGCTGTTCAGGTGTGTATCTGTAAACTGCAAACCTAGGATGACGCAGCAGCAGCAAGCAGAACTGGAAGCAGAAGCAGAAGACAGCCAGTTCCACCGAAGCCCTCCGGGGGCCTAGTCTGGCCCCCGGGCCGCAGATTTGACACCCCTGAATTAGATTTTCTTCCTTCAAGGTAGAAACAAGTCCACTAGAAGATGTTGAACACCAGATTCAAGGCATACCGAAGGAAGTCTTTCCTTGCATAACTTATGGAACTCACACTCCCTGGATGTGTTAATGTTGCAAGCCTCCAGGTGGAACCTGGCTATCTCCTGGAATTAAAACTGAGCTCTGTACTGCGACAATCAATCCCCTTGGAGAAAACGCCTGCTTTGGAGGGTGGACTGTATGGCATCACACCCTGCCGAGGTCCCCCCCTCCCTGAGGCTCCAGCCCCAAATCTCCAGGAATTTCCCTACCTGAAGTTGGCAAGATGACTTTGTCATCTTTAAAAGGGACCATTTATTTGTAGCACACCATTCTTGTCAAGGCAGATCCCAGAATAATGCTCTCAAATGGTGCGATTAGTCCAGCGAGACACCATAATGCAGCACCACAAGGCATTCAATGAAGGGGGACTAGATTACAGAATTAGGGAACAGTGGGAACTAAGCAACTGTCTAGGCGACGTGTGCTATAAACAGTGCAGAAACTGCAAGCGCAGAAGACAGTGCCCTAGAAACATGGCGAAACCTTGGAGCAGACTAAAAAAAAATTAGAGAAGGTCTCAACCAAGTGGTGTAGTGGCTTCGGAGTCTGGACTCTAATCTGGGAGAACCGGGTTGGATTCCCCACTGTACCACATGCAGCTGCTGGTGTGACCCTGGGTCAGTCACAAGTTCATTCAGAGCTGCTCTCTCACCAGCAGTTCTCTCAGAGCTCTCTAAGCCCCACCTACCCCACAGGGTGTCTGTTGTGGGGAGAGGAAAGGGAGGAGGTTGTAAGCCGCTTTGAGTCTCCTAGTGAAGGGCGGGGTATAAATCCAATCTCCTCTTCTTCTTGAGAGCCAGTTTGGTGTAGTGGGTTAAGTGCCTGGACTCTAATCTGCGAGAACCAGGTTTGATTCCGCACTCCTCCATTCGCAGCTGCTGGATGACCTTGGGCAAGCCATAGTTCTGGCAGAGCTGTTCTTGAAAAAGAGCAGTTTCTGTCAGAGCTCTCTCAGCCCCACCTACCTCACAGGGTGTCTGTTGTGGGGAGGGGAAGGGAAAGGAGTTTGTAAACCGCTC